CCAGGCGTGGTGGAAGGTGCCTGTCATCCCAGCTACTGAAGAGGAAGAGGCAGGAGAATTGCTTGATCACACCACTGCACTCCAGCCTGGGTGACAGAGTGAGACTCTGTCTAAAAAAGAGAAAAAGAAAAAGAAAAAGAAAGAGAGAAAGAAAGAAAGGAAAGAAAAAGGAAGGACAGAAGGAAGGAAAGAAGGAAGGAGAGAGAAGTAGAAGCTAGGTCACAAAAGGCTGTTTTTGTTTCTCTTTGTTTTTTACCATATTAAGGAGTCTGAAATGTATCCTGTAGCTATTATTTACTCGGTAAGTGCTTTTACTTTAGCCTATGCTATTATTTCTTTAAAGTTTTATTTAAATCAACTCACTTTTGTTGTGAACAATCATGTCCATGAAATCACAGGCTTTATGTTTTAATTAAATCCTTCGAGTGGGTGTTAAAATGAATACCCCTAACCAGAAAAATACAATATTCTTCTATGTCCTCCTTAACACATCCATGCACACCCAAGCATGAAGACCAGACTTTGAGAAATGGAGCCACAGGCGATGGGAGCTACTGCACGGTTTTAAGCAAGGAAAGGACATGATCAGGTTTGCCTTTGATAAATGTCATTCCAGCCGCTGACTCAGAATAGGGACTGAAAAGAGATGGAGTTAAGGGCTAGGGTTCCAGCACATGCAACACAGGAGATTGTCCACTAGCCAAGAAAGTTCGTAGAGGGGAGCAGATGGGAGGGGCAGAGTGGGAAGGAAAATTATTCTTTTGGATTGAAATATGTTGAATGTGAAGTGTTTGTGGAACACTTGTATAAGTTCCTGAATGCCTGTGTCTGGAGCTCCAGGGAGCGGGAGTCCTTTAAGGCAGTGTTGTCCACTTTCTAGTGACCACATGTGTCATCTTAAGTGTTCAAATGGCCCCATTTTAAAAAGTAAAGAGGCCATGCATGGTGGCTCACGCCTGTAATCCCAGAACTTTGGGAGGCCGAGGCAGGTGGATCATGAGGTCAAGAATTCAAGACCACCCTGGCCAACACATCAAAACCCCATTTTTACTAAAAATACAAATAAGCCAGTCATGGTGTTGGGTGCCTGTAGTCCCAGCTACTAGGGAGGCTGAGGCAGGAGAATCGCTGGAACCCAAGAGGTGGAGGCTGCAGTGAGCCACGATCACACCACTGCACTCCAGCCCGGGTGACAGTGAGACTCCATTTCAAAGAAAAATAAAGTAAAAAGAAACAGGTGACTTGAATTTTAATTGTGTGTGTGTTTAAGACTGAGTCTCACTCTGTCGGCGGGGCTGGAGTTCAGTGGCGTGATCTAGGCGCACTGCAGCCTCCGCCTCCCGGGTTCAAGTGATTCTCCTGCCTCAGCCTCCTGAGTAGCTGAGATTACAGGTGGCCACCACCATGCCTGGCTAATCTTTGTATTGTTTTTTGCTATTTTGTGTTTTTTGAGATGGAGTCTTGCTCTGTCACCCAGGCTGGAGTGCAGTGGAGCGATCTCTGCTCACTGCTAACTCCACCTCCAGGGTTCAAGCGATTCTCCTCAGTCTCCTGAGTAGCTGGGATTACAGGCAAGTGCACCAAGCCCAGCTAATTTTTGTATTTTTAGTAGAGATGAAGTTTTGCCATGTTGGCCAGGCTGATCTCAAACTCCTGGCCTCAAGTGATCTGACCACCTCAGCCTCCCAAAGTGCTGGGATTACAGATGTGAGCCACCACACCCACCCCAAATCTTCCGTTTCTTATAAGAATATGAACCATAGGATTTAGGGCATACCATAATTGAGTATGACTTCATCTTACCTTGATTAAATCTGCAAATACTTTATTTCCAAATAAGGCCATATTCACAGATGTAGGGGGCAGTCAGGATTTCCACACACCTTTTTGGGGGGGCAATTCCTTTCAAGTGGGGCTGTTAATTAGTTGTTTTGTTTTGCTCTGTTTTGTGTGAGGCAGGGTCTTGCTATGTCACTCAGGCTAGAGTGTAGTGGCGTGATCATAGCTCAATGTAGCCTTGAACTCCTGGGCGCAAATGATCTACCTCAGCCTCTGAGGTAGCTAGGATTATAGGCATGCACCATCACACCTGGCTAATTTTTAAATTTCTTGTAGAGATTCGGTCTCATGATGTTGCCCAAGCTGGTCTCAACCTCCTAGCCTCAAGCGATCCTCCTGCCTTGGTAAGCCCTGGGGCTCCAGGTATGAGCTACCCTCCCCAGTAGTAAATTGGTATTTCTAATAAGCCCCGGCCAGGCAATGCAACTTAGGAGACCATCTCTCAGACGGAGCCAGCAGAACCTGAGGATCCAGCGGGGATGGCTCCCTAGAATGGGATTCTGGTGAGTCCGGGAGTGGGGGGACAGTGGAGGAATAGCTAAAAGCAGTACACAAGGAAGAAGCTCTCATCACCAGCAAAGAAAAGGAGGCACAAGACTGCCAGATGATCTGGGCCAAGGCTGTAGTGTAGTCCTGGAGGAAGCAAGACATCTGTGGTTTACAGCCTGTGCTGCAGAGAACTGCTTCCCAGCGCGCTCGTGGTGGTGGAGGCGGGGAGGAAGAGCTGGTTCTGAGGCTGCTGGCCTCCCACCGATGCACCGGGGATCAGCCTCTGTCCCGCCCAGCCACTGGATTTCCAACTTCTGCAGAGCTCTGTCCAAGGTCTCTTTCACTTTTTTCCTGCGCTCTCCCTCCGGGGTTAATCTCACCTCTTTCGGAGGCTTTGAGCACCATTTACATGCTGATGTTACCCAGATTTGCATCTCTGAGCCCCACCCCCACACCAAACTCCCGACCTGTTTCCCAATTACCTTCTGAGTGGGAATATCCCGCTGACCTGAGATTTGCAACTCTGAGCCCTACCCCCACACCACCCGGCATACCTGAGATTTAACCTTTCCAAAGCTGAACTCACCCCGAAATTTTTTGCTTTCCATTAGTTCCTAGATCAATTAGTAGCATGGCTCCCCATTCGGTCCCTCACCAAACTGGAAACCTGAGGGTCGTTTTATCCTTTTTCCTTTCCTTCCTACGCGCTAAATCACATCAAATCCCTTCCCTGGGCCGCATTCCCCTTGCTTTCCGTTCAAGTACATCTCCAGACTTGACTAGTTCAATACCCTCTTAATGAGAACCGTGACCCTGTCTTCCCCTCTGGGAGAAGCCATCCTCCAGTGGTGGGCGCCTGTAATATCAGCTACTGGGGAGGCTGAGGCAGGAGAATCGCTTGAACCCAGGAGGTGGAGGTTGCAGTGAGCCTAGATCGCGCCATTGCACTCCAGCCTGGGCGACAGAGCGAGACTCCGTCCCAAAAATAAATAAAATAAAAAATAAAATAATGCAATCTAACATGTTCTTTGCTAACTTACAGTAGGATATAAAGAACACAGACAGGAGCCGCCTGTATTCGAGGTGGCATGACTTCTGCATCCAGCCCAAGACTAAAACCCTCAGCAACTGGCAAGCGGAAATGTTAAGAACGAAAAGGGCATCTGGGTGGCGTGCCAACCTTTCGTGCCACGTAAAGCACGTTGCGGTGATCCAAAACGTTTCTGCCTCCAGATACATTTGGAAAACGCTGACCTACAACCTAGAAAAGTTTGATCGACATTCCTGCACACTGCTGTTATAGAGGGAAGCCCTAAGATAGCTCAAAGCATTTGCCTTATTTTCAAAAGCAATGCTTTAGAAACTCGAAAGCCCGGGAAAAAAGTTATTTCATGACGTGAAGCTCCCCGTCGATGTCAATTCGAACACATCCAGGATTGCGGCTGCCATGTTCGCTCGAACATGTGCAGGACAAACAATGCAACCAGCGGGGAACCGTAAGCCTTTTTCCTGAGACTTCCTACCACGCACATGAAGTGTTCACGAAACTTTGCAGGACCTCTCCACATTTCACGAGGCTCCCGTGAACTCCGGAGCCGAGCTAAACAATAGGAAGGACAGAAGCTGGGAGTCCCCAAGCATCAAACGTGCGGCTTGTGTTTTCAAAAAAAAACTCTCCCTGGCGCCGAGGCGGCTTTTCCTAGGCTTTTAGCCTCTGCAAATTGTTCCCATGGTCATTGTCTTCCGTCAGGACGCTCCGCTGCGCGCTCGGGGAGCAGGTACAGCGCCCAGCAGAGCGACGCGCGGTTGAGCCCGGCCAGGTGGCGGAAACGCTCCCGGCCCTAGCAGCCGGGCCCGGGAAAAAGGTGGCCCGGGCGCCAAGGGCGGCTGCCAATGCAACTCGCAACTTTTGAAATCAATCCTTTTCTGCATCATGCAACGGATGCCACCGCTCCTCGGGTTTGCAACCCCCCACCCCTCCCCCGAGACCAATCATTGCCGCGCTCGGCCCTGCACGGCGCCCCCGCCCCTTTCCCCGGCCGCACGCCGCCACCCAGCCGCCCGGGCCGCCTCTTAAAGGGAGGTGGCCGGCCTTAAAGGACCCCCGCCCGCCCAGCCGGCGGGAGCGTGGCGGCCCGGCTCCCGCAGGGCCGCGCCAAGCCAGGCGAGCCCCCGCGGCGTCCAGGCGCGGGCCCAGGCTCCCGCCGTCGCCGCTGCCGCCGGGCGCGGCATTTTTATTCAGGCGACGCTTAAGGGAGCCCGGCCGCGCCCGGTGCATTGTGGGAGCGGCCCGCGGCCCGTTTTCGGGAGGAGGCGGAGGGCGCAAAGCGAGCCGGTAAGCGGCGGGCCCGGCGTGGGGGGGAGGCGCAGGCTTAAAGGGGAATCCGGGTCCGCAGGCCCGCGGCGGCCGTTGCAAATCCCCCTCCGGGCCGCCCGGGACCGCCGGGGAGCCGCGCGCCGCCGGCCCCGCCAGCCCTGCCTGGAGAGGGACAGAGCCGGGCTTGGTGGGGCCGCTTTAAAAAAGAAGCGCCGCCCGCGCCGCCGCCGCAGCCGCCGCGCGGGGCCGGGGAAGGAGGGAGGGAGGGCGGGGAGGAGCGGAGGGGAGGGCGGCGGCGGCCACGCAGGGGTTAATTTTTTCGCCCGCCGACATTTTTGCGCGGCGGCGGCGGCCCGTGCGCGCGGCGGGAGCGGCCGGCTTGGGGTCCCGGGGCGCCTCCGGGGCCTCCCCGCTTCCCCCTCCCTCCGCGCGGGCCCTGTGGACCCGGGGCTGCTGGGTTCCGGGCGCCGGGCGCCTGGACAGCGCGCCCGCGCGCTGCCTGCCGCCTCCAGCTGGCCCGAACGGGGATGGCCCGGCCGGGGCCCCGCGCTGCCGCCTCCGCCCCGCCGTCCGCCCGCGGCCCGGGCCTTCTGGGCCTTCCGAGGCGGCGGCGGCGGCGAGGGCCTGAGCCTGAGCCCGAAGGCGTCCCCGGGCTCCCCGCTCCCCGCCCCGGCCGCCTCCGACGCGGGCGTCCTGGAGAGCGCGCCCCATTGTGCGGGCCCGGCGGGGAGGTAGGTCCGGGGCTGGCGGGGCAGCGCTCCGGGCCCACCCCGCTGACCGGCTCCCCGGCTCCGCACACTCGTTGGAAGAAAAAAAAAAACAAAAAACCATGGAAACGTGCCCGGGAAGGAAAGGGTTAAACATTGTTTTAAATATTCATGCCATTGTTTTAAAGGCGTAAACATGTGGCTGCGGGGTCGCCGGACACCGTCCCTTATTAATGCAGATGGATCCCCCTGGTTCCTTAATCACTGCACATTTCCCCCGGCACCCCTCCCCCTTCCCATGCCCTCCAAAAATGCAAAATCTAATACTGTTTTCATTAGGATGTGAGTCTGAATTGTGTCCTTGGTTCCGTTTGGAATTTTAAAACTCCTGAGCGCTTTCCTAATTTAAGGTGTTTTAAACTTTTTTCACCCCTTAAAACTCTGAGAAGAAGATAGCATTTTTAAAGGAAGTGAGCTCCCCGCAATTCCCCTGCCCACCTTTTTGGGAGCTGGGAGAGGAATAGAGATTGGAGGTAGGAAAATAAGTGGATGCCTCGTGAGTTGGATTTTTTTCTTTTTTCTTTTTTTTTTTTTTTCCTGGTAGGGGTGAGGCCATGTTAAATTCGAGGCGTTTTGTGAGGCGTTTTGTGTTGTTTTTGTTGAAACGCCTTCCAAGTCAAAGTGGTATTCAAACTTTCCCCTAAGATGGCTTCAAAATTCCTGTCTCTGTCACTTGTCGCCAGTGCCTGCTCTTTTTGGGCAGGGAGGTTTCTTGGTATCGTGTTTGAAGGCTAACTCCTGTTCAGTAGTTTGCCACCGAAATCATTGCTCATCTCAAACCGTGTTTTTGTGAAGAGGGTTTGGATTACTGCCCAAACTCGGGCTTCGTGAGATTTATATGAGGGATGTGTGTCTCAAGGGATGGAAAACTCTATAAATGGGAATTATGTTCATCATCACAAATTTTATAGGGGAAACTGACCCTAAAACTTGGGGTGTCTGTAATTCTAGGCCCAATAAGGTATCAGTCTGGAAGTTTGTAAACCCTAGAAACACATGTTGTTTTTTGCTTTAGCCTCAAAGGCTAAATCACGTAGGAGTGCCTGTTCCAGAAGCTTGACGGTGGTAGTCAGGGCGGTAAATGCTGGTGATTTAGTATGGTTTAATTTGTTATTTGGGTTCTGCAATGAAATGTTAATAAGGAGTAACATTTTTTGTCAGTGATGTGTGTACCAGTTTGTTGGGCTGGTTGTTTGCTTTCTAGGAAATAACACTGCATGAAAACATGAGAGAGCTTTCCAATTTTCTGGAGAACACAGACCTTGCCCTGTTAAGCAGCCATTGCAGTTTTTAGGTTGTGCCCTTTAGAGAGGACTGCTATTAGTTTTGGATTGCCTTGTATATTCTTTCTTTTTTGTTGTTGTTGTTTTGAGAGGGAGTCTTGCTCTGTCGCCCAGGCTGTAGTGCAGTCTCGGTTCACTGCAACCTTCTCCCGGGTTCAAGTGATTCTCCTGCCCCAGCCTCCTGAATAGCTGGGATTACAGGCACACACTACCACGCCCGGCTATTTTTGTATTTTTAGTACAGAAGCAGTTTCGCTGTGTTGACCAGAGGTCTGGAACTCCTGACCTCAGGTTATCTACCTGCTTTGGCCTCCCAAAGTGCTGGGATTATAGGCAGAGCCGCTACGCTCAGCCTTGGGGTGTATATTCTTTGGCCTCAGAGGGAAAACTTTGTTTTTCTAAGATGAGGATTTAGCATTGTGAAAAATTTTGTCCAGCGCGCTTACATTAATGTCCTTTTCTTTTCTTTTCTTTTTTTTTTTTTTTTTTCTTTCTTTTCTTTTTTCTCTCTCTCTTTCTTTCTTTCTTTCTTTCTTTCTTTCTTTCTTGCTCTGTTGCCCAGGCTGGAGTAATGGCACAATTTCAGCTCACTGCAACCTCCACCTCCCAGGTTCAAGCAATTCTCCCTGCCTCAGCCTCCCAAGTAGCTGGGATTACAGGCACCTGCCACCAAGCCCAGCTAATTTTTTTGTATTTTTAGTAGAGACAGGGTTTTGCCATGTTGGCCAGGCTGATCTGGAACTCCTGATACCAGAAGATTTTCCAGAAAAGTCACCTTAGTGAGGACAGCTGGTTTCTAACCACAGTGCTTCCAGGTTGACACAGGAAGTGCCCAGTGGTGCTGTTCTAATGCTGAGTTCCAGAAGAACCTTTGGGACTTGGCTGTTCAAGGTGGCATGATGTCATATGAACCTGCAGGCTGGCCCTCTTGCCACAGTGAAAACCACAGGCCAGGTGTCACATCTTCCATAGATGTCTGTGCTGGCATAGTTCCTTGATGAAAAGACCTGTTTTATCATATGCACTACTGTGATAAATATCGGTGGTCTTGGTGATTTCAGCCCTTGTCACATTTACTTTTCCCTGTCATGTATTCACTTGATTTACTGTCACATTCCTGTGGGAATTCATTTCATGGCATCTCTGTGTTTTGGTGATACCCAGGTGGATCCGTAAAAAACCCAGCCAACCCGCAGAGGGAGGGCAGGGGCTGAGCTGTGAGGAGAGCGGGCCCCAGAACCATGTCTACGCGGGAGTCCTTTAACCCGGAAAGTTACGAATTGGACAAAAGCTTCCGGCTAACCAGATTCACTGAACTGAAAGGCACAGGCTGCAAAGTGCCCCAAGATGTCCTGCAGAAATTGCTGGAATCTTTACAGGAGAACCACTTCCAAGAAGATGAGCAGTTTCTGGGAGCCGTTATGCCAAGGCTTGGTAGGTAACCCGGTGTTTCTTTAATGGTCTGCGATCCAGTCAGTGAGTCAAAAACCAGATTTCTCGCCTCCCATGTTGCCTATTTATTTTTTTATTACAAATTTTTTTACTTTTATAGATTTGGGGAGTGCACGTGCAGTTTTGTTATATGAATCTATTACATAATGGTGAAGACTGGGCTTTCAGTGTAGCCATCACCCAAATGCTGTACATTGTTCCCCCCTTTTAATTTTTGTGAGAAGGATTAGAAGAGCAATCAATGGTAACTGTTATGTTCTTGTAACTTACATGGCACAAGTACTTGAAAGGCATCAAGAGGGGTACTCTGACAGTTTTTAAATTATGGAGTATGCGATTGAGATCGTTATATTACAGTAAAAACATTGTTTAAATTAAATTGAATTTTCTGTTAGCTGAAGATTAAACAGAATCACTTCCAAGATGATGATTTTTATGCCCTTTTCCTAAAAGGATTCCTAAAATGCTCACATGCCCTTCATGGCCCCAGGAAAGGTGGTTCCAGCCTTAGGGTTCCTGTGCAGTGTTCAGGTGGCAGTGACTGTGTCAGCAGGGCATTGGGGTTCTCTGCAGGGTGCATCAGGAGGAGGTAGGACTGCAGGGATCTGTTCATGACCCCAGGATGTCTTCCGGAACCGAGGACAGTGTTTCCTCTCTACTAAATTCCTAACGGCATGAGTGATTTCACTTTTCCCAAACACAGAGCTTAGAAACAAATTCTAGGCTCCTGGCATGTTGTTTATTCATGTTTCTTATGCCGTTTTTTAAGTACGCAGTGCAAGACTGTGATCACTTTTCCTTGTGTTTGATGCATAGTTTTGGAGGTTTGGATGCTCTGTAATTACTGTGTGACTTGATCAGCTTTCTTTTTTTTTGAAAAGGAGTCTCGCTTTGTTGCTCAGGCTGGAGTGCAGTGGTGCAATCTCGGCTCACTGCAGCCTCCACCTCCACCTCCACCTTAGGTTCAAGTGATTCTCTTGCCTCAACCTCCTCCTGAGTAGCTGGGATTAACAGGCACATGCCACCACGCCGAGTTACTTTTTATGTTTTTAATAGGGACAGGGTTTCACCGTGGTGTCCAGGCTGGTCTCAAACTACTTGACCCCAGGTGATCCTCTCACCTGGGCCTCCCAAAGTGCTGGGATTACAGGCATGAGCCGCCACACCCGGTCAGGTTTTCATTTCGTTTCCTTTTGCCCATTATTTTGTAAAGTTCATTGATCATGAGCTTGGGGTCTCCTTTCCTCCCAGATAGAGAAAGCAGATAAAAGCATAGTTGCTTTGTTTGGAAGGGAAGAAATATTACATCCCAGTCTCTGGTGGCCTGCAGGACTTTGAGGAGCTCGGTTTGAAAGCAGTTCCTGCTGTCCAGCTGATGGCCAAGCTGTGGAGAAATGAGCGAGCTGGATTTGATGTTGGCTTGTCAAGAAATGAGAGTATACTGAGGAGGCTGTTAGATGACTGTCAAGAAAAAAAAGCTGTTCATACTTAATGCTCAAAAACCAATGAAATTAAAACTTTACAGGATAAAGTAAGAATTGCTATTTATAACTTCCTCTGACAGTCACTCATATTACGTTGTGAATGTCAACCCAACTCTCCTGAGCCTCAGCTTCCTAATCTATAAAATGGATAATAATAATTAGTGTATGGGGCTGGGCGCTGTGGCCTACGCCTATAATCTCAGCACTTTGGAAGGCTGAGGCGGGCAGGTCACTTGAGGTCAGGAGTTCAAGACCAGGTTAGGCAACATGGTGAAACCCTGTCTCTACTAAAAATGCAAAAATTATCTAGGATTGCTGGTGTGTGCCTGTAGTTCCAGCTACTTGAGAGGGTGAGATAGGAGGACCCCTTGAGCACCAGAGGCTGAGGCTGCCATGAGCCAAAGTCACACTGCAGCCTGCGTGACAGAGTGAGACCCTGTCTCAAAAAAAAAAAAAAAATACTGTTTTGCATTGTTGTACCAAAAATATTCTGGGTAGGTGTGCCATGTAGATCTGTACTTACATATATAATACATGTATATGTATACACACTGTACACACACATATATATATATATTTTTTTTTTTTGAGACGGAGTTTCACTCATGTTACCCAGGCTGGAGTGCAATGGCGCGATCTCGGCTCACCGCAACCTCCGTCTCCTGGGTTCAGGCAATTCTCCTGCCTCAGCCTCCTGAGTAGCTGGGATTACAGGCACGCGCCACCATGCCCAGCTAATTTTTTGTATTTTTAGTAGAGACGGGGTTTCACCATGTTGACCAGGATGGTCTCGATCTCTTGACCTCGTGATCCACCCGCCTCGGCCTCCCAAAGTGCTGGGATTACAGGCTTGAGCCACCGCGCCCGGCCCAGTAGTCACATTTTTTAAAACCTGATAATGAGAATCTATGTTAACACAATATATAAAAATGTCTTTTCAATATGTATATATGACATTGTTATTATTATTATTTTTTTTTGAGATGGAGTCTCGCTCTGTCACCCAGGCTGGAGTCTAGAGGCGCGATCTCAGCTCACTGCAATCTCCGCCCCCCAGGTTCAAGCGATTGTCCTGCCTCAGCGTCCTGGAATGGTCCAGCTGGTGTTAAACTCCTGACCTCATGATTCTCCTGCCTAGCCTCCCAAAGTGCTGGGATTGCAGGCGTGAGCCACCGTGCCCGGCCATATAAGACATTATTAATAAGATGTTGTGTTTTGGCACCAGGTGTTTAAAATCGGGTATCTGTTTTATACTTAGAACACTTCTTCATTTGCAGTAACCACATGTCTGGTGCATAGCCACCCGCTGTGGCTAGTATCCACCATACTGGACAGCACCAGACGCTATTCTAGTAGACCATGGCGGCACAGCTGTGAAAGAGAAACCACTGCTTTTCAGCCTTGGGGCATCCTCAGGAGTCACCAGTTACTCTGATCAAAGGACTTGCTAAATTTAGAAATAAAGCGCTTTACAAATCGAATATGTTTAATTCAAATTTACGATTATTCAGATTAAGAACATTTAAAGCTCAGCAATGAATTTAGTGTCTCTTTCAGTAGTCCTGCAATTTAAATGGAAGAATAACCAGTTGTTGGAATTACCCATTTAGAGAAAATCCATTGAGTTAAAAAGTGGTATTTCTATGTAGGTGTTAGAGTGTTGTGAGATGAATTTGAGAGGTTCTGCCCATAGGCTGTTTACATGAATTACCACTCACATTCTCCTCTGAAGAATGAAAACTGACCCAGTGCCGGAAATTGTTGAAACTTGCTATTCTGTGCTTAAATTCTCCATTCCCTAGCAAGGTCTTCCAGCAAGAGTTTCTGCCTTGCCATCTAGTGTAATAGTAAATCGGCCTGTCTTCACATCCTATGGCTTTTTATTCAATATGGTTTCATTTTTGCGTCAGGAAAGATGTGCTGCCTCCGTGACCCACCTCTGTGAGGTCTGCTGCTATCGTGAGACTGAGTGAGGCAGTGCTTCCCGGCTGTTTTACATAGGCAAAATATTAAAGGTGGTTTTACTGCGATTCAGATACGATTTATTCCTGCTTGAAATTCTGAATTTATAGGGTAGATTCAAGCACTTAATTTGCTTTTATTTTTTTTGTCCTAATACTTTTTTTTTTTTTTTTTTTTTTTTTTTTT